CTGGCTTCTACGGCTTTGGCCCCACAGGCTGTCAAGGTACCTGCCTGCCTTTCTTCCCTCTTATTCTCTCTCCTCGCCACAACTGGCTTCCTCCCTCCCTCCGACCGTGCTTCTTTCTTTCTCTGACTCTGCCTTAGGCCCCACACTCCCAGCACTGGGGCACTGGAAGTTCTCTTTGATTCCCCGACTTTCCTACCCTAACCCCACCTGGATTCCCTCAGACCCCTTCCCTGGCTCAGCCTCTGCCTTGCCCCCAGCCTGCCAGTGCAGTTCCGAGGGGGCACTCAGTGGCCTGTGTGAAGGGACCAGTGGGCAATGCCCCTGCCGAACTGGGGCCTTCGGGCTTCGCTGCGATCGCTGCCAGCGTGGCCAGTGGGGATTTCCTAGCTGCCAGCCATGTGTCTGCAACGGGCACGCAGACGAGTGTGACACCCGCACGGGCGCTTGCCTGGGCTGCCGTGATCACACCGGGGGTGAGCACTGTGAAAGGTGAGCCCGGAGAAACTAGGAGTGGGTGGGTGGGTGGGAAGGCAGCTCCGGGATCACATCTCTCTTCCTGTCGCTCCCTGAAGGTGCATTGCTGGCTTCCACGGGGACCCACGGCTCCCATATGGGGGCCAGTGCCGGCCCTGTCCCTGCCCTGAAGGCCCAGGGAGCCGGCGGCACTTTGCTACTTCCTGCCATCGGGATGGGTACTCCCAGCAGATCGTGTGCCACTGTAGGGCGGGCTACACAGGTGAGTAGATAAGGTGCAGGTCTGGGGTCAGGGTGGGGCAGCCGAACTGAACACTCATGCCTTCCCCAACTGTGGGCAGGGTCGCGGTGTGATGCTTGTGCCCCTGGGTACTTTGGGGACCCGTCAAGGCCGGGTGGCCAGTGCCAACCGTGTGAGTGCAGTGGGAACATTGACCCCACGGACCCTGATGCCTGTGACCCCCGCACGGGACAATGCCTGCGCTGCTTACACCACACGGAGGGGCCCCACTGTGCCCACTGCAAGCCTGGCTTCCATGGGCAGGCTGCCCGACAGAACTGTCACCGTGAGTGTGGGATTGGGAAGGGATTGGGGTGGGAGGGTCAGGGTCTGCTGTGCAGGCTCCCCTTGATTAATGTGCTTGACCGGCACAGGCTGCGTCTGCAACTTGCTGGGTACCGATCCCCAGCATTGCCCGTCCACTGACCGCTGCAACTGTGACCCAAGCAGTGGGCAGTGCCCATGCCTCCCCAATGTCCAGGGCCCTAGCTGTGACCGCTGTGCCCCCAACTTCTGGAACCTTACCAGCGGCTATGGCTGCCAGCCCTGTGCCTGCCACCCAAGCCGAGCCAGAGGCCCCACCTGCAATGAGGTATAGGACCCTGCTGTGGATCCCTGGGTGGGTGGGGCTAGCTGTCTGTCTCCAGTTTCAAGAGCTTAGCCTCTGATGGAGGCGCTGACCTCTGCCCTGTTCCCACTCTAGTTCACAGGGCAGTGCCACTGCCGTGCTGGCTTTGGTGGGCGAACTTGTTCTGAGTGCCAAGAGCTCCATTGGGGAGACCCTGGGTTGCAGTGCCGTGGTAAGCCAACAGGGCCAGGGTGGCTAGGGGGCTTCCCGGGATGCTCTACTGGCACCCTAACTCTGTGATCTGCCCTTTCCTGCAGTCTGTGACTGTGACCCTCGTGGAATAGACACACCTCAGTGTCACCGCTCCACAGGGCACTGCAGCTGCCGCCCAGGCGTGTCAGGCGTGCGCTGTGACCAGTGTGCCCGAGGCTTCTCAGGAGTCTTTCCTGCTTGCCACCCATGCCACGCATGCTTCGGGGATTGGGACCGAGTGGTCCAGGACTTGGCTGCCCGTACACGGCGCCTGGAACAGCGGGCACAGGAGCTGCAGCAGACGGGTGTGCTGGGTGCCTTTGAGAGCAGTTTCTGGCACATACAGGAGAAGCTGGGGACTGTGCAGGGGATTGTGGGTGCCCGCAACGCCTCAGCTGCCTCCACTGCACAGCTCATGGAGTCCACAGAGGAGCTGCGGTGCGGATGGGCCTGAGGATATGTGGAGGGATGGGGTAGAGACCCAATGGACCAGGGCCTAAGCTTCTCTAAACACCACCTCCACTGGCACAGGCGTGAAATTGGAGAGGCCACTGAGCACCTGACCCGGCTGGAGGCAGAACTGACAGATGTGCAGGATGAGAACTTCAATGCCAACCATGCACTGAGCAGTCTGGAGCGAGATGGGCTTGCACTTAATCTCACACTGCGGCAGCTGGATCAGCATCTAGACCTGCTCAAGCATTCAAACTTCCTGGGTGAGCTGTCGGCCAGCTTGGCAGGTGGACCAGGGTTGAGCGATCTTTTTTTTTTTTTTTGAGAGAGGGGAGGGGAGAGGGAGGAGGAGAGAGAGAGAAATCTTAAGCAGTTTCCACGTCCAGCACAGAGCCCAACGTGGGGCTTGATCTCACGACCCTGAAATCATGACCTGAGCCAAAATCAAGAGTTGGATGCTTAACCCAGGCACCCCGGGTTAGGTGATCTTTAGCTGATTGCCAGCCTCTGCCCACTATAGGTGCCTATGACAGCATCCGCCACGCCCACAGTCTGTCTGCGGAGGCAGAACATCGTGCCAACACATCGGCCTTGACAGTGCCCAGCCCCGTGAGCAACTCAGCAGATACCCGGCACCGGACAGAGGAGCTAATGGCTGCCCAGAGGGAGGACTTCAACCGCAAACACATGGCCAACCAGAGGGCACTAGGCGAGCTCTCTGCCCATACCCATTCCCTGAGCTTGACAGCCATAAATGAACTGGTAAGGCACAGTGTGGGGTGGGACTTGTGGCTGTGGCTGTTCCTTCTGCAGGGCCCTGACTTTTCTGTGCCTGGCAGGTATGTGGACCCCCAGGGGATGCACCCTGTGCTACAAGCCCTTGTGGGGGTGCCGGCTGTCTGGACGAGGACGGGCAGCCCCGCTGTGGGGGCCTCGGCTGCAGTGGGGCAGTAGCCATGGCGGACCTGGCACTGGGCCGGGCCAGGCACACACAGGCAGAGTTGCAGCGGGCACTGGCAGAAGGTGGTGGCATCCTCAGCCAAGTGGCTGAGACGCGTCGGCAGGCAGGCGAGGCACAGCAGCGGGCCCAGGCAGCCCTGGACAAGGCTAATGCTTCCAGGGGACAGGTGGAGAAGGCCAACCAAGAACTTCGGGAACTTATCCAGAATGTGAAGGACTTCCTCAGCCGTGAGCCTCCCGTGTAGCCCAGGCCATGTGGTTGTTTTCCCTGTGTCTGTGTTCATACTTGTGTCTGTGGGTTCATACTTGGGTCAGGGCCTGCACTGGACCTGTGTTTATCACCCCATGTCTAGTCCCTCAACCTTTGCCTATGTGGTCCCAAAATCCATGACCCCAAGCCTGTGCCCACTTATAGTTCCATCACTGTGCCTATTAACAAACCCACATTCCATGTGTGGTCCCACGCCCCAAGATTGTATCCGATGCCTGTGTTGGAGAATCTGTGTGCCTAAGGCCTTGCCTGTGTCCCCATAGAGGAGGGGGCTGATCCCGATAGCATTGAGATGGTGGCAACACGAGTGCTAGAGCTCTCCATCCCAGCATCACCTGAGCAGATTCAGCACCTGGCAGGCGCGATTGCAGAGAGAGTCCGGAGCCTGGCAGATGTGGACACAATCCTGGCCCGTACTGTGGGAGATGTGCGTCGGGCAGAGCAGCTACTACAAGATGCACGGCGGGCAAGGTCTGATCATGACCCTGGCCCCTATCCTTGACACCTGGTCCTGATACTTACAGGCCCTAATTCCCTCTCTTCCTCAGGAGCCGGGCTGAGGGTGAGAAACAGAAGGCAGAAACTGTACAGGCAGCACTGGAGGAAGCCCAGAGGGCACAGGGTGCTGCTCAGGGTGCCATTCAGGGGGCAGTAGTTGACACACAGGACACTGAGCGAACCCTGCACCAGGTGTGGTCTCCCTGGGACATCATGGGAAAAGATTATGGGCACGCACCCATAGACCTGTTTAACCCTGTGTCCACCTGTGACAGGTGCAGGAGAAGGTGGCAGGTGCGGAGCAGGCACTGAGCTCTGCAGGCGAGCGGGCTCAGCAGTTGGATGGTCTCCTGGAGGCTCTGAAATTGAAACGAGCAGGGAATAGCCTGGCAGCCTCTAGCGCTGAAGAAACAGCAGGCAATGCCCAGGGTCGTGCCCGGGAAGCTGAGCAGGTGGGTTGAGGCAGAGCCAGCTGGTGGGGGTTGGGCTAGAGGCTGGGCCTTCACTGTGCCACCACGCTGACTTTGCCGTCTCTATCTGCAGCTGCTGCAGGGCCCAGTAGGCGACCAGTACCAGACGGTGAAGGCCTTGGCTGAGCGCAAGGCCCAGGGTGTGCTGGCTGCGCAGGAGCGGGCAGAGCAGCTTCGGGATGAGGCTCGAGGCTTGTTGCAGGCTGCTCAGGACAAGCTGCAACGGTTGCAAGGTGAGGACTCGGGTGGGTGGAACGCCACAGGTGTGGGTCTGTGGGAGAAGGACCCTTCAGCTGAGACCTGACCCTTCTAGAGCTGGAGGGCACCTATGAGGAGAACGAGCGGGCCCTGGAAGGCAAAGCCGCCCAGCTGGATGGGCTGGAGGCCAGGATGCGTAGTGTGCTTCAAGCTATCAACCTGCAGGTCCAGATCTACAACACTTGCCAGTGACCCCTGCAGGATTCCTACCCCAGCTCCCAGCCCCGCCCCCGTTCCTGTCTTTGCATGGCGAAGTTCCCAGTCTGACCAGGCCCCCAATAAACCGCTGTGAATCCCCACTGTGTCGTCTGGACTCTGATTTGGGAAGGGGCGGGGTCTCTGGGCGGAACCTCAGGACGCCACCAGATGGGCCAGGGCGAAGCCAAGGCACCGGAGCCCCGCCTCCTCCGTCCGGGTCCGCCCCGGAGCTACCCGCCGCCGCGTGCCCGCTCCCACCGGAAGTGCGTCACCAGCTAGGCGCTTAGCCACCCGCGGCCGTAACTAGAAGTCGAAACAAAACAAGCGGCTGAGGCGGCGGCGGCGGCGGCGACGGGACGGGGGAGGGGCGCGCCGGAACCGGAACCGACCAGACGCCGGAACCGGAACCGAGAGCGGGTTGCCAGGGCCCTAAGAGGGCTGGCGGCGGCGGCCTCGCTCGGTGAGTGGGACGGGCCGCAACTGGCCTGTCTGGCTGGAGCCGGGGAGGCCGCGACGCGGGCCCCGGGCTGCCTGTTCAAGGTCACGGGCCGTGCCAGCCTCGAACCCTCGAGCCCCGCGGCGGGCCGGGCCCACTGATGCAGGCGGGGCCGTTACTCTACGCCTGGGGTCGGCCTCCTGCCTCCGAGAGGGCTGGCGACGAGCGAGGGCGGCTTCCCGGAGGAGGTGGTGGCGGGCCCAGGGTTCGGAGGCTGGAGCTGAGTAGCAGCCCGGCCGGGGCGCTGGTCTGTAGTTAGTAACCCCCGCAGCAGTATAGGCCAGCATGGTCTCTAGAGAGGCCCTTTCTTGTCTCGGTGATCCCGGGAGAATGGGGAGGGACGCTACTTTAAGCTGAGGCCTGGTGCAAGGAAGTGGAGGATGTCCACCCCTCTGCTCTGGATCTGTCGTCATTAAAGATCCAGCCCACTAGTACCCCACAGAAGAATGTCCATCTCTGTCCCCGCCACACGTACACCTTGGGGAACACAAAGTAGTCACTTAATTGCTTTGCTGCCATCTCAGGGCAGGCTTAAGGCTGCCATGGGTCCTAGATTCATGGTTCATTCCCACCATTATCTCAATTTTGAGAACTTTATTTTGAATGGAAAAACAGTCCAGAATCTACTGGTGGGTCTGAGGGAAACTGGGTAGAAGGTCTCTAGCCTAGTGCTGATGAGTGAGTGGACCTGGGAAAGAAGGGGATGATGTCTGTTTCATTCTCAAACTGGTTGCCCCTCCTGGTTTGGCTCTGGGGCAGAGTTGCTGCTGAAAGGGTAGTGTGACAGCTAGATACCCTTTTCACCCCAGCTTTTGCAGGCCCCTCTCCGCTTGGGACAGCAGTGGGAGAGAAAAATCCCTCTTGGGATGTAGGAAGAAAAACCAAGCAGTGCATAGGAACAGGTTCAGGGGAGGGTGGGAGCCAGCAGGTGGCAGGTGGGACACCTTAACCCCAGGACCTTGCCTGGGCAGTGGTAGCACCTGGGCTGAGCCTGACTTCAGCCACAGAGCTTGCTCCCCTTGCTGCTCGCTTGTCTTCTTTCTGCCTTCCTCCTCCACCTCCTACTTCTCGGGTGGTGACTAAGCAGCCAGTGAGAGTGAGGAAAAGTGAGCACCCTGCTCAGAGTGCCAGCCCTGTGGGCTGGAGCCATGGCTCCTCTCCAGATTGGTTGAGGAGCCTGGTTCCAGGCCATGGCTGCCTTGACCTGGTGCCTCCTCAGTGAGGCTCCCATCTTTGTGAGCCTGTATGGTAGGCTTCTAGGAGTCTCTGCCAGAAGTTGTTGTTGCTACTTATATTGTTTATTCCTCCTTCAGAACAGTCTGAGAGCGTCCAGGGCTGCAATAGGTGGTGGAGAGATACTGCTCTGTAGCATCTTGGTTGTATTCTGGGTTGCTGAGTCCTGGGCTGTAACCAAGGTGCAAATTGTTGGGCCTTGATGGTGATCAGTGGTCCCTTCTCATTAGGCTGTCGGTTCCTTGTTGGAGAATTTGGCCACAAAGAGCTGCCAAGATAGCCGGGCCAGGAAGAAAGCGCCGTAGCCCTGACCCAGACGCCGTTGCCGACCCCGGGGCACTCTGGCTGTCGACCAAGCGGCTCAAGATGTCTGGCGGGGCCAGTGCCACGGGCCCAAGGAGAGGTCCCCCAGGATTGGAGGAGGCTACCAGTAAGAAGAAGCAGAAGGATCGAGCAAACCAGGAGAGCAAGGATGGAGATCCTAGGAGAGGTGATTGTGGCATTCCCAGAGTGCTTATGGTCTCCTTCTCCACCCTGTTGAGCATACCGATTAGGGGTTGAGAGGTGACATTTTTGCTCTTCCTCCTGTTTTGGTCTGATACTAAGAGAAGGACTCACAGCAGTCTGGGTAGAGCCTCAGCTTTAAGGTCTACATACCTGGGTGAGATCCTGAAGATGGTGTTCGGTGGGGTCGCTGGGGTCTTGGAGGCTGCCTCCCCATCATCATTTCCTGGTTCTTTTCTTTGTTGTCAGGGTCAGCGTGCTCTCGGGAGGAGCAGGCCAAAGAGGGTGAGTAATGAGTAGGCCTTTTGGGTGCAGGTGGTACAGTGCTAGGGATGAGGAGGGAGCACTGGGGCTATAGCCTTCATCTGGAGCAGCTCTGTTAGGGGTAGGTCTCTTGCAGCTCTTCACCCCCACAGGAGTTCATGGAGACCCTCATACTTTCACTGGCACACCCCCTACAGAGTTGTTGCTTGACTGGAGGCAGAGTGCCGATGAGGTAATTGTCAAGCTGCGTGTGGGAGCGGGTCCCCTGCGGCTGGAGGAAGTGGATGCTGCTTTCACAGACACAGACGGCGTGGTGCGGCTTCCAGGTGTGTCCCATCTGCCCTGAGCCCAGCGATATATTTGAAGCCTCTGATCTCCCCCACCCCAGCTCACTGCCCTTACTCTGTCTCCAGATGGTCGGCAGTGGGGTGGTGTCTTCTATGCTGAGATAGAAAGTTCTTGCACCAAAGTACAAGCCCGTAAAGGTGGCCTCCTGCAGCTGGCACTGCCCAAGAAGGTGCCTCTGCTCACATGGCCCTCTCTTCTGGTAAGTTCCACAGCAGAGTAGGGTAGGGATGCCCAGCATGGTTGACAGGGCCTGACTGCTGTATCTTTGGTAGAAGAAACCTCTAGGGACCCAGGAGGCAGTACCAGGGCTGCGGTGCCAGGAGAATGGGCAGGAGCCATCTCCCATTGCCCTGGAGCCAGGTCCTGAGCCCCGTCGGGCTAAACAGGAAGCCCGGAACCAGAAGCGGGCCCAGGGCCGTGGTGAGGTAGGCGCAGGGGCTGGCCCCGGGGCCCAGGCAGGGCCCAGCGCCAAGAGGGCTGTGCATCTCCGAAGAGGGCCAGAGGGGGAAGGGTCCAGAGATGGGCCTGGACCCCGGGGTGATGCCCCCCCCTTCTTGGCTGAGACAGCCACCCAGGTGAGAGGGGGGTACCTATGGGAGCTGGGAGATGGGAGGGTTGATAGACTGCAGTGGGGGGCCACCTACCAGACCTATAGCTGATCCTGCCCACAATCTTGCCACAAATAGGCTGAAGCTGAGGAACAGCTCCGGGTACCACCACTGAACCCCCAGACCTGCCTCTTGGGCTCAGAGGAGAATCTAGCGCTCTTGGCAGGAGAGAAGACTGTGTCCCCCAGGAATGATCCAGTCTCCCCAGCCATGACCCGGAGCAGAGACCCTGAGAAAGGTGACCGTTCCAAAGAGGAGATGGCAGTGGCAGCAGATGCTATAACCTTGGTGGATGGTAAAGGTGGGGCTGGGGGTGGGCAGGCAGAGCCCTGGTTGGGTTGCAAGGTTGGCGGGTGGATTGGGGATAGAACAGCAGTGGGCCAGAACCTGTCCTGGGTGGTGCTGAGCTGTGGTCTCAATGTAGAGCCGGAGTCCATGGTGAACCTGGCATTCGTCAAGAATGACTCCTATGAGAAGGGGCCAGATTCAGTGGTGGTGCACGTGTATGTGAAAGAAATCCGCAGGGACACCTCTCGAGTACTCTTCCGCGAGCAGGACTTCACACTTATCTTCCAGACCAGGTGGGTGGGAGGGCAGGACATGAGGCACAGGGCACACTTCAGGCAGGACAGCGTGTCTCATGGTCTTCTTCCCACCCTTCCTCCTGCCCTGTCCCTGTTCTGCTTCGGCAGGGATGGAAACTTCCTGAGACTGCACCTGGGCTGTGGGGCCCATACCATCTTCCGTTGGCAGGTGAAGCTCAGGTGGGTGGTTCTTGGCCCCAGTACTATGCCTGTCCCACCCTGGGCTCCATCTCCCTGGCCCATCTAGCCCGACACCTACTCCACCTAAGTCCCTGAGTTCAGCCTTTCCCCACAGGAACCTGATTGAGCCAGAGCAGTGCACCTTCTGCTTCACGGCCTCTCGCATTGACATCTGTCTCCGTAAGCGGCAAAGTCAGCGCTGGGGGGGCCTGGAGGCCCCAGCTGCACGAGGTCTGCACACGAGCTCCCTTCATTGTCCAGCCCGCACAACCCAGACCCCCACCCCCTTCCACGTGCTGCTAACCACCAGCCCCCTCATTCCCCCTTTTTAAGGTGCAGTGGGTGGTGCAAAGGTTGCCGTGCCGACAGGTCCAACCCCTCTGGATTCAACCCCACCAGGAGGTGCCCCCCATCCCCTCACAGGCCAGGAGGAAGCTCGGGCTGTGGAGAAGGAAAAACCCAAGGCTCGATCTGAGGACACGGGGCTGGATGGTGTAGCGGCCCGCACCCCCATGGAGCATGTAGCCCCCAAGCCAGAGCCACACCTGGCCTCCGTGAGAATCCTGGGGTGGGGAGGGGACAGCCAAGGTTAGAGGCTGGAGAGCCTCAGGGCTATTCTCTCATCCCCCTCCTTACTCCCACAGCCCAAGCCCACATGTATGGTTCCTCCAATGCCCCATAGCCCCGTGAGCGGAGATAGTGTGGAAGAAGAAGAGGAGGAAGAGAAGAAGGTGTGTCTGCCAGGCTTCACTGGCCTTGTCAATCTAGGCAACACCTGCTTCATGAACAGTGTCATTCAGTCTCTGTCTAACACTCGGGAGCTCCGGGACTTCTTCCATGGTGAGAGCAGGGCCAGGAGCCCCGGGCCGTGGGCAGAGGGGATACCTTTCCCTGCTTACACTTCTACTTGGCCGTTGTCCCTAGACCGCTCCTTTGAGGCCGAGATCAACTACAACAACCCACTGGGGACCGGTGGGCGTCTGGCGATTGGCTTTGCTGTGCTGCTCCGGGCGCTGTGGAAGGGCACCCACCATGCCTTCCAGCCTTCCAAGTTGAAGGTGATCTGTGGCCACTCCCACCCTGGCTAGAGAGGGTGGGGAGGGCTGGCCAGCTGGGTACATGGTGGGTGTTGGGGCTCCATGCTCACACTCGGCCCCTGCATCCAGGCCATTGTGGCGAGCAAGGCCAGCCAGTTCACAGGCTATGCGCAGCATGACGCCCAGGAGTTCATGGCCTTCTTGCTGGACGGGCTGCACGAAGACCTGAATCGCATTCAGAACAAGCCCTACACAGAGACCGTGGACTCGGATGGGCGGCCCGATGAGGTCAGGGTTGGGGGCAGAGGTGGGCATATCTCATGCATATGCCAGGCCCCAGGTCTCCTTGATCTTCACCACTCTGCTCCTCAGGTGGTAGCTGAAGAAGCATGGCAGCGGCATAAGATGAGGAATGACTCTTTCATCGTAGACCTATTTCAGGGCCAGTATAAGTCGAAGCTGGTGTGCCCTGTGTGTGCCAAGGTACGACGGGCTCCCCTGGAAAGCAGTCCCTAGCTTGCTCTAGCTAGCCTGGTCAAATTGGGGTTGGGGGTGTGTGCATCTTTAGATGTTGTTTGGGTAAAGGGGCTGACAGGCCTTCAGCTTCTGCATGGGCTGCAGAGGTGAGGCTGGGTAGCTTTCCAACTGACACAAAAGGGGTGTTTGGGCTCAAAGACCAGCTATAAGGGCGGGCAGGGGTGGGGGTAAGTTTGGAAAGACGTGGGGTACGAGTGAGGGTCAGATTGATACGTGGCAAGGCTGAGTGAGGCCTCAGTTGCTGGAAAGAGGGAGTATTCTCTCCTGGTGGCCCTCCTGGTCTGTCTGGTATTCTCGAGCCTGAGCATTTCCTGGTTGTCCCTGGGGCCCTGAGGACCATCTGAGTGCCTGGATTGGGCTCCCCAGACATAAGCATCCTGTGCCCCACTCCGGTGCAGCCACCTAGTGCCACTTGTGCATCTGCAGGTCTCCATCACTTTTGACCCATTCCTCTACCTGCCGGTGCCCTTGCCACAGAAGCAGAAGGTTCTCCCTGTCTTCTATTTTGCCCGGGAGCCCCACAGCAAGCCCATCAAGGTGAGAAGTAAGCTCCTATTTCTGGGCGATCTCAAAGACCCTGGCCCACCTCCCCCATGGATTCTCTTCTTGTTACCAGTTTCTGGTGAGCATCAGCAAGGAGAATTCCAGCGCAAGTGAAGTGTTGGACTCGCTCTCTCAGAGTGTGTACGTGAAGCCGGAGAACCTGCGTCTGGCTGAGGTACGTCTGTCCTTCCCCAGGCCCTTAGGCATGTGGATATGTGTGTGTATCTAGGGTACACAGACACACGTGATGGTTGTTGGCATCTGTATGTGTACCCACAAACATGCGTGTGACTGCATGAAACCCACGGGTGTGCTAGGGCTTGAGGCATGATGCCAGGCATTTGGGCTGTGCAACACAAGTGCCCTCAGGTCCCCAGGTTGCTATCGTCGGGGTTTACTCCCCGCTTTTGTTGGGACCCTCAAGTGCTTTTCCGTCGTCATACAAAGAGCTGGAGCTGCGGGACTATCTTACCAGCAGCTGTGGTTCTCCCTCTATCCCTCACATTACCCTGGATCTATCTGTATGCTAGTCTTTCCCAAAGGTTCGTAGCTTCCAGCCTGGAGGTACTCTTTTCTTTGGGGATAAAAGTGGGAAGGGGGGGGCGCCTGGGTGGCTCAGTCATTAAGTGTCTGCCTTTGGCTCAGGTCACGATCCCAGGGTGCTGGGATCAAGCCCCACATCGGGCTCCCTGCTCAGCAGAAAGCCTGCTTCTCCTTCCACTCTCCTCTCTCACTGTGTCTCTCTGTGTCAAATAAATAAATAAAATCTTAAAAAAAAAAAAAAAAAAGGGACGCCTGGGTGGCTCAGTTGGTTGGACGACTGCCTTCGGCTCAGGTCATGATCCCGGAGTCCTGGGATCGAGTCCCGCATCCGGCTCCCAGCTCCATGGGGAGTCTGCTTCTCCTTCTGACCTTCTCCTTGCTCATGCTCTCTCTCACTGTCTCTCTCTCAAATAAATAAAATCTTAAAAAAAAAAAAAAAAAAAAAAAGGGGTGGGAAGGAGCCTCCTCTGATGCAGCCCCTCCACATCAGCCATGGGGCGGTCTCAGCAGGGCCCCACTAACTGACAGAGTGGAGGCCCTCAGTGTGCAGTGCTGTGTTGGTTGCTGTCTATCCCAGTCCCGGCTTTCAGGCCCTCTGATGCACCGGGCTGCTTATTCTGTTGGGCACTGAAGCTGGTGCCAGCAGAGGCATATGCTGCTTTGGGGCCACAGTCCCCACTCTGCTGTTCAGGCCCAAGTTCAGGGCCAAGTCTCCTTGTGCGCTGAGGCAGGGCTAGAGAAAGGGACTCGTCCTCACATAGGATCTGTGTGTTCTCTGTCCCCAGGTGATCAAGAATCGTTTCCACCGTGTGTTCCTGCCCTCCCACTCATTGGACACTGTGTCCCCATCCGACATGCTCCTCTGCTTCGAGCTGCTATCCCCAGAGTTGGCTAAGGAGCGAGTGGTGGTGCTAGAGGTGCAGCAGGTAAGTGAGGACCAACCTGATGGCATGAGGGCCTGTGGGAGGGGGACATTCTCACCCGAGCTGGCCTTGCTGAGCCAAACAACCCACCCTAGCGCCCCCAGGTGCCCAGCGTCCCCATCTCCAAGTGTGCAGCCTGCCAGCGGAAGCAGCAGTCAGAGGATGAGAAGCTGAAGCGCTGTACCCGGTGCTATCGCGTCGGCTACTGCAACCAGTGAGGACCCCCCTCGCCTCTCCCTCCCTGGCCCTCCTCTCCATGTTTCACTTGCCACCCTGCCTCCTCTCCCCATAAAGGCACATGCTTTAAGCCTTCCACTTATCATTCTACCCTGCTGGGCTCTGGCGGGGGGGTCGGGGCAGGGTTGGCAAACGCAGTTCCTAAGGCCAGAGGCTAACCACCAGCGGTGAGTCCTAGAAGATGGGGCTGAGGCCCTGTTCTTAGTTTCCCCTTCCCTTCAGGCTCTGCCAGAAAACCCACTGGCCTGACCACAAGGGTCTCTGCCGCCCTGAGAACATTGGCTACCCATTTCTGGTCAGTGTACCTGCCTCACGTCTCACTTACGCTCGTCTTGCTCAGCTGCTAGAGGGGTACGCCCGGTAAGTGCCCAGGGATGGGATTAGGGTTGGGTGGTTGGAGGGTAGGCTTGTCAGGATTCTTACTCGCCTTGCTGCCTGTTGCCAGGTACTCTGTGAGTGTATTCCAGCCACCCTTCCAGCCTGGCCGCATGGCCTTGGAGTCCCAGGGCCCCGGCTGCACTACGTTGCTCTCCACTAGCTCCCTGGAGGCTGGGGACAGTGAGAGGGACCCGATTCAGCCGCCTGAGCTCCAGTTGGTGACCCCCGTGGCCGAGGGAGACACAGGGGTCCCACGGGCATGGGCAGCCCCTGACCGGGGCCCTGTGCCCAGCACCAGTGGAGTTTCTTCTGAGGTGCTGGCCAGTGGGCCAGTTGAAGTTGGCTCCTTGCCTGCTGGTGAGAGGGTGTCTCGGCCCGAAGGTAAGAGTCTGCTAGAAGGCTCTGCACCCGGGGTGGGGGAGGTTGGGGGGAAGCTTATTTAGGTCCTGGTAGGTAGAGGAGCTGTGATTGTTGTTGGTTTTTTTTTTTTTCCCATAGCTGCTGTGCCCGGATATCAACACCCAAGTGAAGCCACAAATGCCCACACACCCCAGTTCTTCATCTATAAAATTGACGCATCTAACAGAGAGCAGCGGTTGGAGGACAAAGGTGTCTGAGGCTGTGGGTAGGAGCCATGGGATGGGTTGGGTTGGCCGCTCTCCATAGTTACGTGACCCCTCTCCCCGCCCATCTCTAGGAGACACCCCCCTGGAGCTGGGTGAGGACTGCAGCCTGGCTCTCGTCTGGCGCAACAATGAGCGCCTGCAGGAGTTTGTGTTGGTAGCCTCCAAGGAGCTGGAGTGTGCGGAGGACCCAGGCTCTGCCGGGGAGGCTGCCCGTGCTGGCCACTTCACTCTGGACCAGTGCCTGAACCTCTTCACCCGGCCTGAGGTGCTGGCACCCGAGGAGGCTTGGTGAGGACGGGGCGGCAGGCGAGTAGTGGGGCAGGGTGGAGTGGAGCTCTGCTGGTCCTAACCCTTGCTCTGTCCTCCATCAGGTACTGCCCGCAGTGTAAACAACACCGAGAGGCCTCCAAGCAGCTGCTGCTGTGGCGCCTTCCTAATGTACTCATTGTGCAGCTCAAGCGCTTTTCCTTCCGGAGTTTCATCTGGCGTGACAAGATCAATGACTTGGTGGAGTTCCCTGTTAGGTGAGCGATGAGCCCTGGTGACCGTAGTCAGGTCATGGGGCGGGCAGCATCCTGGGTACCTGTTGACTGTCACCTTTCTCTGGCTGGGATCACAGGAACTTGGACCTGAGCAAGTTCTGCATCGGTCAGAAAGAGGAACAGCTGCCTAGCTACGACCTGTACGCCGTCATCAACCACTACGGAGGCATGATCGGCGGCCACTACACCGCCTGTGCACGCCTGCCCAATGACCGCAGCAGCCAGCGCAGCGACGTGGGTGAGGGCATACGCAGTCAGCAGGATAGGTGGTAGTGGTACTGGTTCAGGTTATGTTCACACTCTTCCCACCTCGCTGTAGGCTGGCGCTTGTTTGACGACAGCACGGTGACAACAGTAGACGAGAGCCAGGTCGTGACGCGTTATGCCTATGTACTCTTCTACCGCCGGCGGAACTCTCCTGTGGAGAGGCCCCCCAGGGCAGGTCACTCTGAGCACCACCCAGACCTGAGCCCTGCAGCTGAGGCTGCTGCCAGCCAGGTGAGGCATGGGAGAGTGAGGCTTCGCAGGCTAGGGAGTTCAGTTCACAGATGGGAGGGGGTGGGGCACAGCCTCCTCTCCTCTGGCCATTGGTCCCTGGAGTCTTGGAACCATGATCCTCTTACTTCAGAGTCTGGAGGAATCCCCATGCTGAGTGACACAAGGGTGCATGCACACCAGCGCGTTGCTGTTGGCGTGCATGTAGGCACCCTCTTGGCACAGGCTGAGGAGCTGCTCTGAACCTCACTGGGTGAAGAGATGCTACAGCCCAACTGTACCCTACACTCTCCCAGCTTCCCTCTGCACCTTCCTTACATGCCAGCCAGCCCACAGACCCTCACTTGTCATAACTCCTTTGTTCTGATGTACACTCAGGACAGGCCTTATCCAGGCTGGCCATGGGCTAGGGTGGCCGCCACCCTCTCTGAGGTGAGCGTCTGTCCCTGCTGAGCCCTTGGGGTCTTCTACCCCTTACTGACATGGGGTGCCATAGGTCTGGTGGGTGGGTACAGCTGCATCTCTTTTCTGGACTGGTTTCTTCTTACTCTTCTCTCCGCTGAGCCCTCTCTGCTCAGATGCAGAGGAATCCTGATAGAAGACCGTGGTCACAGTCTATCTGGACATGGGTGGGAGGGACCCAGATTACTTGGGTTGGCAGCTCTAACCTCCACGAGCTCCTCTGTGGGAGTCCCGTGCTAAAGAACTGAGCAGCTAGCCATCTCCCCCACTCCCCTGGCCAACCCAAATGGGAAGCTGCATGTCAATTGGGAAGCTTCTTGGGGAGCCCAAATGCTGTCAAGATTCGCCTGCCTCAGTGCTCTGTCTAGACAACCCTGCAAATGGCCCACTTGGCTCCCGCTTGCCCACCTCCCTGCAGCTTGACTTGGGTTGTGTAAGGGGTTAGTGCCAGTCACTTTGGGCGGGAATTCCGTGGCCAGGGTCTTGGGGACACCGGGTCCCTCCCCACCCCTGCCCCAGTGCTGATGGCCGTTTCCGCACACTGTAGGCTTCCCGGATTTGGCAGGAGCTGGAGGCCGAGGAGGAACCGGTACCCGAGGGGCCTGTGCCTCTGGGTCCCTGGGGGCCCCAAGACTGGGTGGGTCCCCCACCACGTGGCCCTACCACACCAGATCAGGGCTGCCTCCAGTACTTTGTTCTGGGCACCGTGGCAGCTTTGGTGGCCCTCGTGTTCAACGTGTTCTATCCTCTGGTATCCCAGAGTCACTGAAGATGAGCTTGCCTGCAGGCAGCTGCTGTGAGCTGGCCCACCTGCCTGCCCACCAGGCAATGCCTGCCTCTGTGGTGGGGACCACCTCTGGGCTTGGGCCTCAGTGTGTGCATCTGGTGGGAGAGGGTGGGGAATTTGGCTCCTGCAGGGGCAGAGCATCCTAGGGTGGGTATCCGTTCAGCTGTCTGTCCGTGCGTCCTGCTGCTCTGACCCTTGGCCTGGGGCTTAGCCCTGCCCAAGCAACTTCCTGTATTTAAAGTGTTAATAAAGTGAGACTGTTCAGGCCCGATCTTGTCTCTCTGTCTCAACGCCGCTGCTGTCTGCGCCTGCCTTGGGACCCTCCCTTGGGTGCCCGGACTCTGAGCCAGCACCCCCGGGATGCCAGGCAGCATACCGGGCAGCCCCCAACCCCTGTCCTCATATTCTGTTGCAGGGACTAGGCCCTGGCCAGGCCCCCGAGGTGGCCCCCACGCGGACAGCCCCTGAACGCTTCGCCCCCTCTGTGGACCGCCCAGCCCCCACCTACAGCAACATGGAGGAGGTCGATTAGCAGGTCCCTGGCTGGTGGGGTGGGATTGGGACTGGGTTTGGGGAATCCCCAACAGAGGGCCAGCTCTTTGCCGCTTCTCCTTCTCTAACCCAGAGGACACTGGCTTCATCAGTGGGGGTTGGGGGTATGATTGAGGTGGGGACCTCACAGGTTGGGCCCTCTTGTCAGCTTGATCCCCGCCCCCCAACCCGTGGGCCTTGGCTTCTCCAGCCACCCCCAGTGTTGCGTGATTTGATTCTCAGTTGTACCTTCAGTTCTTTCTGACTCGCATCATAAACGTTATAATTTTATTCTAAAAATTGTAATTTTTTTTTTTTTTTGCATTTTGGAAGTGATTGCTGCTGTTTAAATATATTTTAAAAATAAATGATAAATAAGCAGACTTAGTGACTGTGATGCACCAGGTGCTGTGGCCACCTCTCCCTATCCTCTAGAGGGGTGTGTGCGTGTGTGCGTGTATGTGTGTGTGCATGCGCCCACGTAGGTGTGTTAAAGACCCTGAGAGCAGGGCTCCTGGGTGGCTCAGTTGGTTAAGCAGCTGCCTTTGGCTCAGGTCATGATTCCAGGGTCCTGGGATCAACCCCCACATTGGGCTCCCTGCTCAGCAGAGAGCCTGCTTCTCTCTCCCATCTGCCTGCCGCTCTGCCTACGTGTGATCTCTGTCTCTCTGTCAAATAAATAAATAAAATCTTAAAAAAAAAAAACCAACAAAAAACAAAACCCTGAAAGTGCTCTGGTCTGAGGAGAAAATGGTGGACTCGCACCTCAGCCCCTGTGGGTCACAAAGCCGTCAGCTTTCTGGGGCCTACCTGCTGCCCTTTGATCCCACCAGTTCCAAGTCTCATGTGGAAGCAGTGGTGTTGGGCATCATTGTCAGTACTTCACACCTAAAGGGTGGATGAGTACCCCATGAGGCTCCAGAAGCTGGGGTCAAAGGTGCAGGCACTGGGGTAGCCTGGGGCTGACAGCCAGACGGTAGGTCAGGGAGGACTTCTTGGGGAACAGGAAGCATTGGGAGTACTGTCTTCCTCCTTTCCTGGTATCAGGTCTTTCTTTGCTATAGTCAGCACCATCTGAATCCCTTAGTGGAAAGAGACCCTGCTCCAAAAGGACAGGCAGTGAGCCCAGAGCTCATCTTGGGTGCCTTCATGTGGGAGGGAAGGTGCAGGATCCTGGCGGGCCATTTCTTCCCTTATGTCCCTGAGACCTTGGCTCCTGGCCTTTGCCCCCAGGCTGTTTACCTATAGTGGGTCTGCAGTCTTATCCTACTTTCAGGGCCTCTTTGACCTTGTACATACACATAGCAAGGGCAAATCTTATGAAAAGATTCCTTGTCTCTCTCCATGGACAGTGTTGCCTCCTCCTCTGTTCAATGGCGTGAGGGTAAGGGTGGATGTCTCCAGCCAGAGCAGATGGGAAGCAGAGGTACTCATAAGGCGATTGATAAGCCAGAAAAAGTATAAGGCAGGCAGGGGCGGGGGAGCAGGATTTCAGCAGCCCTGTAGATCCATCCCTGCCTGAAGCTTCTGGGGCCAGTCCTACAAAAAGCTTAGCATGTGGGCCCTGCTAGGACACCTTAGCCTCAGTTGGAGTTAGGGGTGGAGGAAAGCAGAGGGAGCTCCCACCCCTGTGACCAGTGTTGTCTTTTTCTTATGGGAACATGGCGCAAGGGCAGTGTAGGGTTGCTGGCTACGGAGTGGAGCCTGGAGAGCTGGGTGCAAGAACCTACAGAAATGGTGGAATTGCCCAGCTGAGGGCTGGTGTTGGCATACTGTTGGAGGGCCTGCTAGGTATGGGGCACAACATGATAGTGCTGTGTCTTAACTGTGGGCAGCCCCAAGTGTCTAGTCACTGGTGGTCTGCTTGTAGTAGATACACTGATCACGGGGCTCTCTGCCCTTGACCATAACCTGGCTGCTGTTGTATCTGCCATATACCCTTCTGTGGCATCTGCACTATGGCCCCTACTACCTCTGTGCTGCCAGCCCCAGGACCCTGCCTCTTCCCATGCCAAAGCTGGGCCTTGCTGACTGCTGCCTGGCTTTTCTCCTTTTCTCCATCATTTTTTTTCTTGATTTTCCTTGAAGTTGTGTCAAGGACACAACTTCATGCAAGCAAGCCAGCTGCTGGGCTGGGCCATAAAATGTCATGGTTCTATTCTGGGCAATTCATAGGGCTCCAGAAGACTGGGTAGCTTGCCTCTGCTTCTTGTGGCATTCTTGGTACATTGGTGGGGCTACTGTCTCATCCTGTGACATGGAGCCACAGGTTCCCAGGGCAGGCACTATGAGAGAACCGGAAAAGGTGATGTAGGCCCTGACTCCATTGAGGGAGCCATCACTAGACCTGCAGGACTCGATGGTAATGGTGCTGTAATAAATCCGGTGGCATCAGGTACAGAGGGGACAGTGGATGTGGCAGGCACTGTGCTCATCAAAGGCACCTTTGTTGTGGGGTAGGTATCTGTAGCTGTGGACTCAGCATAGGGGTGGTGTGGCTGAGGCTCTGCTTCTTGGTGCCTGTTTATGGCACCACTGCACTACATCCCCAGCTCAATGCCTGCACCTGGTCTTGCCTGGGCTGGACATCAGGCTGGAGTCATGGGAGCCAAGACAAAGGAATGGATTTCAGTATTGGTGCAGTGTAGCCCTGGGCAGAACCTGGATGTGATCATCATGTGGGACCCAGATGTAGGCCCAGAAATGGCACTTGGTCATTAGTGGGATATGACCACAATGCAGGACACAGAACATGGATAGACTGCAGTCATGGATATCCTGCCTCGTTCTTGAAGGTCCACAAGTATTAGTGACCCCAAAGCCTAAAGAGCCTGAGTTCCAATCCCAAATTTGGGGATCTTCTCACCATCCCAGCAGCTCCAGTTCCACAAAAAAAAACAGTTATCCTTTAGCCTGATTCTCAGCAGGTCCTAGAAGTCCAGTGAGACACTGGGGAGATTCCGCCAAGCACAACAGGCCTCATCATGAAGATTGTATCTCCTCTGCTCCACCCTATCCTAACTAAAATAAAATATCTTGCCAAACACTTGCAAATGGATTTCCAGGTCTAATTTGCTTGTAGTTTTTTGTGATATTTGCATGCTTTGGTAAGGGAGGGTACGTATGTCAGGAGATTTTACAAGAAGTCATTACAGAACACCGTTGAGGTCCTTCTTCAGCCCAAACACCTGTCTCCTAGCCAGGTGCGTCTAGGTGGGCGCCTGAAAAGTGCTGGACTTAGGGAGCCCCTCTATCTGCCATTCTACACACTATCTTTGCTGGAGTCTTGACGGGTTTCTCCGGAGTTCGGTCCCCTGCCCTCCAGCTGTTTCCATGACAACTCCAAAGCTGTGACGTCAGAAACGCGATAGGAAGTCGCAGTTGCTCCCAACAACGGAAATGGGATGGTCCCAAGCTTTCCTGCTTCTGTGCTGAACTCCTTCCCAGGTTCGTGCAAATCTCCCCTAAAGTCCTGCCGCCCCCACCACTTCACTTCAAGCGACCCGCACCACGAAAACGTAGACGGAAGTGAAGCGCTCGGAAGAACCGGTTTGGTGGCCTCTGTCTTTTAAATGGCGCCGACGACCCTGGGTAGCCCGCCCCTCCCTCCAGGACGGCTACCATTGGCTTTCCCTGGCGGCTTCGCTCTCCTATTGGTCAGTGGGCTAATGCCAACGTCAGATTGGCCCTAAAGTTTTTTTTCGGTTTCCGGTGTCCCAGCAATGGCGGCTCTGGACTCGCTGTCGCTCTTCACCGGCCTTGGCCTGAGCGAGCATAAGGCCCGGGAGACGCTCAAGAACACGGCTCTGAGTGCGCAGCTGCGCGAGGCGGCGACCCAGGTGGGAGTCCCTCTGCCCTTGACCCTGCCTGCCGACTGTGCTTCAATGCCGGACCAGGTCCCGATCCCCATCCTCACCCCGACCCCGACCTACCAACCTTGTCTAACTCATGTTTTTCTTACTGGGTGTGGGGCTTCTCTTCTGACCCCTTGAACTCCAGGCGCAGCAGACTCTGGGCTCCACTATCGACAAAGCTACCGGGACCCTGCTATATGGCTTGGCATCCCGACTCAGGGATCCCCGGCGTCTTTCTTTCCTTGTGAGCTACATAGCCAATAAGAAGATCCACACCGAGCTCCAGCTGAGCGGTGAGACCCTTGCCTGCCCTGCTACTTCCATCTCCAACTCCTCCCTTCAGCCAATACCCCTGTCTGCCCTTTCTGCCAAGTCCCCCAGTGGCCTTTTTCTATGCTCCTTCTGCGTTCCTCTCTAAACCTTCGCCCTGACAATGAGGGGTGG